TGCAGTGCTGCAAGGAAGACAGTTTGGGGGGGCAGGGAAACATTACATTTCTTATACAATAACGGCTTTAGGGTGGGGATGCTCGAAGTAAATAATGTTTCTATTATTCTTGCTACTACTGTTATTCCTAATTTTTCATTTCCATTATTACTGCCCATCCCCTTCCCTTCCCAGCCAACCAGTTGCCATGCGAGGAGCCGCGATGGTGTCTGCAAGCTGGGCTCCCTTCAGATACAGTGGCAGCTGCGGCAGAAAGGTAGTAGTGGCTACAAGTAGCATAACAACCGAAAAAGACCAAGAGTCATGGCCTCTTCGTCTTGCCCACCACAGTGCCGCCGCAAGACTTGAAATGCTGGTGGCCTTGGAATTGTCAAGTACTCGCAGAGCACACAGCAGGTTAACAGTGTTCACGGGTCTCAACCAGGACTTCCATTGCAGCACCCCATTCCTGGGCTAGGGGACGATCTCAATCTACACCCTGCAAAACCACGTAAACCAGCCATCCCCAAAACCATCCCCAAACCCAAAGCCATCGTAAACATTAAGACCTAATCCCGTGAAGTTTCTCAACTGCACTACATACAGATGTATGATCGAATCTCACGGATACATTCTTCGCGTAGTTGGAACATGAGGGATACAGGGCAAATACTCTTGTTCCTCCAGCCAACCACACCCTGCGCTGAGGTTGCGACGCCTGAGCCAGGAAGCGCCGGAGCATCCCAGGATGCGGATCGAGGTCGGAGTGGAGGAACTTGTCCAGGCCCCGCAGGAACACGAACCTCTTGAAGCGAAGGGTTGAGGAGGCCATTTAGGTAGACGCCCATGCATGTAGACTCCGTCTGAGGGGTCCTTGTTTTGTGTTTATGGTTGGGGCAACCAAAACCTGCATTTAATCCTTATGTAAACACAGCTGCCATTTCATGTTCCAATTTCTTTTCCATGTGATTTTCCATTATAAGCTCTTGGGCCATATTCCTCCCAGTATACCAAGGCCGGTGCCACTCGAAGCCGGCGCTCCGAGCAAGTGCCAGGCAGTGGTTGGCTGCCAGAGACTCTACCTCAGATTTAAGTCCAAACTTCAAGTCTGCCATCATGGGGCCAAAATATGCAACAATGATATAGCTGCCAAAGTATGCGGACATCAAAAACATCTAAGAAAGGGCCTATAGGCCCTATAGCCATTGCGAAAGTCTTTAGTAGGACAGGAGGTCTGAGCTTCATCAGGCAAGGCTCGCACACAGGAGCGTTAAAGGAATTCCAGATGATGGCGTTCAGCTCCGCCACTCGCCTGGCCGGTGGCTCCATTTACTGGTGGTTACCCTCTCCCCCTAGTATTAATCCCCCCCACCTAATACTGAGTACTCCCCAATATACTGTGATATAACACAAAGGGGAAGATTCAATATTAGGGGTGGGGGGGGTTGGGGGTTTAATATCGGGGGGAGAGGGTAAGCGAATGGATGAATGTATCCCTGTCGTCCCTATGTAAGCTCTGATGCTTGTCCCTGTATCCTTTGCCGTCCAATCCTACGGACCACCAGAGTCCAGTGGCTGGTGTCAACAGTTCTCTTTCCCCAAACCGCTGGGAAATTGGGAAAACACAAACGTCCTGCATGTCGAAAACGTCGGCCTGCCAAACTTCTTGTGGACATCCTTGACCTTCGCGCGCGGATCGACAGCTGGGTAAAAACCAGACTACCGCCCAGAAATCACAATCATGGGAAAAACTAAAGCAGAAATAATGTTCACACTTATAACCCAGAAGAGGTATCAGGGGCTCAAGATAATCTACTGCGCATTCTACTGCAAACATTTTCTTGACGCAAGCAAGTTCGCCCCAGAACAGCAGACGCAGAGGGGATCCCCAATCACGAACCGGTGATCTCCCCCGTATACTGAACCCGCCTACCCCCGCAACCCTGCATAGCACCAGTATAATACCATCACATATGAAGGGTCATATTCATATTCAAGTTGCCTCTTGGGATAGTTTACTTACGTAAGCCCCTACATTATCACACCATGTATTTGTAAAATGCTGCACAGGGAGCCGACTGGCAAGCTATCAGCTGTATATCACCAGCACCATCCAAAAGCACACCATCTCCAGCAGTTCAAGTGTGGGGGTGTATACAAGGACTATATTTGCTTATGTGAGGTAATGGGGTTATGGGTCCTTTCCAGGGGTCCCTCCTAAGAGCGCTTGACACCAACTCCACCAGTTCAAATGCGCCACGTACGTCAATCGCCCCTGATGCAGAAGATGTCCTGCAGGCATGTCCTGCCATGCCAAGTCAAATTCTTGCACTGGGTTCAGCTGCCTTTTAGAATGCAACAAAAAAGCAGTCAGAAGCAATTGACTTGCTAGTATCTGCCTCAGACAGGAGGAGCTCGACCGAACCATCCATATCAGGTATGAAGACATGGTCCGCTCCCATCATTCCTGAGGTGCAGAGACATCCATGAAGGAAATAACTTTTGTCCCAGTTTCATTTATTTTTTTGTTTTCTTTTCCATCTGATTCTCCGCTATTAGGGGTCGACCTCTAAGGTTGGCCAAGCTGCCGTGGTAAGCCAACCAGTCGGCCGTAAGCTGCGTGATTTTGGCCGCTTCGATGGTCGGTCGCAGGCACAATGCAATGCCTCTTGCGCTGGCCTCCTGTGCGGGAAGCCCTCCCTATATACACCCAGACCCCTGGGAGGATCTAAAAAGTAGATCCCCTATATAGACCCACTATAACCCCTATATAATCCTTATATAATTTCCCATATGGTTCTAGGGGATCTAATTTTTAGATCCCGTTGGGGGTATGTACACCGCCATGGCTGGAGCCCTCCCTGCAAAAAACTGAGCAGTTCGCAGGCCGCGGATAAGGGCAAATCTGCAGCTGAAGGGGTGTTTTGAATACACCTCAGCTGAACGGTTTCTACCTCAGAATAATAAGGGTAATATAGGGGTAATATAGTAATATAGGGGGATATGGGGACTATATAGGGATAATGGAAAAGAACATGGAAACTACTATTTAGGGTTATGACCGTCTAGATGGAAAGCCGCACCCTCCTTCTGCCAACAAAAAGCCGTCAAGCTCCCGAACCACCAGGCGCCAACCTGGGGCTTAGGGTTTAGGGCTTTCAAGCCACTTTCTATTCTTACTGGTGGTTACTTTGGAATTGAGGGAATATTTGGGGTATACCTAATAGGGTCATATAGGGAGAATGGAAAAGAGTATGGAAACTACTATTTAGGTTTTGGGGTGTATGGTTAGTAGGGAATCAGGGAATACATTATATGGGAAGTATATGAGGATGAATTTCCCGTAGGCCCTACTAACCACCAGTAAGATCAGGTGAACATCTGTTTTTAGCTTTAGACCAATGGCCCTCTGTATCAACCCCATATAAACCCTGTTTTCATTTCTTTTTCCATTTGAAACTCCACCATTGGGGCTAATATTCCTAAACCCTATGTAATCACCCATACAAAGCCCTATGTCTATCATTGCCCCACGTAACCCCCCATATATATCATACATGTATACATACCCATGTGATCCTAGGACCCTGGCCTTTCTGCCTCTGGGAGCCACCAAGCCAAGCCGGAAGCACGCTGAATGGGAATCTGCATCTGATCACCTGGAAGCATGCTGTGCCAAGTACAGCTAGACACCATTGTTATTATTACTGTTTTTTTATCGGACCTTTTCTCCAGGTTTGCTTTGGGTTTCAGGGTTTAGGTTGGGCACTGCCCCCACCTTGTAACAGTCTATATGAGGGGTTTATAATGAGGGCTATATATGAATATATTATAGATAAGATATTAGTTACAGAGTGGGGGCAGTACCCAAGCATTACTGGGCATATTTTATGGTTCTTAACTTAGGTTATCATAATATTTATATGTTGCAAATGTGGTTTCCCTCGTAGCAACTTACTTTCAGAAAGGCAGCTGAATTTAAGCAAGTGCCTCAATAGAAACCCAGATTGCATACCTATTGAGGCTGGATGCAATCCTGACACTGATCCCACATGAGAGTCACATGTCTTGTGCCATGGTATGAGTTCGGACCTGCTGACAAGGAGCCGTCTGCAGCGTAGGCTCTGTGATGTGGCCAGATGCAGTTGCTGCTGTTACATGATACCTGAAGTCATACGAACAATCAAAACTTTGAACGTCGTACGAATTCTCCCATAGCTCCGGTCTCCAAGTACCACGCCTAGACTACAAGGAATCAGGACTTCAAGTCAACCTGAAATGCACATCAAAAGGCTCAGTACCATCTCCCAGTGGGGTTGAGCATGCAAAGCGCAAGTAGTGCGAAGCCTTTAGGGCACATTGCCAAGGCAAGCAATCATGTAATGCTGGCATGGTTGTCAATGTTGTCAGCAAGTCGCTTGAAACATGATGCACAAATTGCTTGGGAAGGCGCCTCCCACGTTGCACACTGCTCTCTGCAGGCAATAACCTCACCTTGGGCACGCAGGGTCAGCCGGTAGATAGAAGCCAAGTACAACAAGTGCAAGGAAGGTACCCGCCTGAGACATGCTCGTGGTTCTACTACAGGCAAAGCTGTCACCGAGTTGCAAGGAGCCAGCTTGCTGGGAGCTTGTAATTCCGTGACCTCAGAAGAATGGACCCAGCAACAATCCCAAACCATTATCTTGTCGCCAGACAGGCTCAGGCACGAACTTGCAGATGCAGCTCAACCTCTACGCCACAGCCTCCCAAGTCCTCCCACAGAGTAGTTTCAGGACTCTGTTCTCTCAACCCTGAGCCGTGTAGAACATCGGTAGCACATGGCGGTCAGAAAAGACTGTAAAACAGCAGATCTACAACGAAAGTTTCGTTCCGTCCTGAACAGTTGCAGCGAAGATACTGGCTTCAAGCCTCCCTGGCACCACCTGCAGCCACGTCATCTTATAACCCACAGGGACAAGCCCTAATATCATGCATGTGTGATGACTTCCTATAATCAAAGGGTCACAGGAGTCACAGGACACCAGCGTAATCTTGGGTTGAAGGGCCAGGGCTAGGCTTGTCTATCACAAAACTGCTGCTGAATGTGCCGACCCGTGCCAGGCAAATAGTGGGAATGTTGCTGATGCTGGTGTGCGAGGCCCAAGTGGACCCTTCTTGGGATATCCTTGAACAGCATGACCGCTGCATGCGGGGGTCTCCCTGCTTTTCCTTGTAAAGACACCTGCAGAGATTGTCTATGCAAGGTCAACAATTGCATCGAAAGCAAAACAGTCTCTTCAGGTTGCCAAGACGGTCCCTATGTATCCTCCCCTTTCACCTAAGCAACCCTTGGTAGTGATTTGGGACGGGATGGTAATACAGACCATCAGGTTGCTTCGCGCATTGAATGGACAAATAAAACTTAAAGGATGATGGACGTCTGAACGTATGGCGAACTCATCCACGCCCAATTGCTTCGTCTTTTGTACTCCACAAGCCAGCACAACCATCATGGGTACTCTGTTTGATTTGATTTGATCTCTAGGCACCTCGTTTTTCTCTGAACATCATTCCCTCAAAATCACGTAATGCATACTGTGATTCATAATATGCCAAAGACTTATCAGTCACTTATACCCTTTTGAATGCTCAGATGACGAACGACTCAGAGCGCCTCCATAATTTCGGCATAGCCATCCGCAGGTGCCAAATCTGATCCAAAGGGACAAAGTGCTGCAGCAAGGTATTCCTGAGACTGCTGGCAAGGGCGTTCAGGGCTTCAAGCTAGTTTAGGAACCGGGTCAGCCTAAAAATTGCGGGGCATGCGAGCTTTACTACTACGGCCCCTTCTCATAAAAGCGTCCTTATACTCCCTATAGTTACCATTTTCTTTTCCAGTATAACCCCAATAGAACTATAATATTACCGCAATGGGTTCCTATATCCCCTATATACTGTTTCAGAACTTAACTTGGACTGCGGGGATGCTTCAGAACGGCTGTCGAGGTTGAGGTTGGAAAGCCCAGCGGGATGCCCGTCCTACTCGCAATGAGGCCCACGCCCCGCTCATAACGAAACGCAAAGCAGGTGTGCCAGCAAAGGAAGGGCAAGATTTATCCTAGCCACAATGTGCGTGACAAACGTCGTGGTCAGCAGGTGCCGCGACCGAGTCTCATGCCAATACACCACTGCTGCACATGAAAAATCAAGGATTCTAGTCGTTATCACTATAATACATTATAATACACTATAAGCTGGCATCCACTGCAGCCACGCATCTTTGGGAAGTGCCTGCCTGCACGGGGACCAGGGCTTCACCTTGAGCGTGTGAGGACGCCGTATATGCCTCCGAGCGCTCAAGCCATAATTAAAGGAGCTGCCTATCAAGCTAAGCTGCCGCAGCCAGGCCTCCCCAGAGCATACTTCAGAGCATACCACCACGAGGATTGCGAAGGCACTAGGAGCTCCAACAGGCTCTTCGCAGGAGGCAGGCCCCTCAAAATGCATCGCCATCCAGGAGCCCCGTGCTTCATGCCGCATTCGTAAAGCTGTGTGGAACTTTTTGGCCACTGAACGGGTCCGTCGCAAGCCGGCAGCCGCAATTGGTCACAGCCGAAGGTCCAGGGATTGTCCCGACAATACTGCTGATAGTCAGGGACTACACCACCCCCGGGACAAAGCATGTCTGACAGCTGTGCTAGTGCCTCGAGAAAGAGTAGGTGCCATGCTCGTGAGGTTGAGGTTTCGGGCAGCATGAGATGCGGCTGTAGAATCAGCTGCAGCTCCCAGGAAAAGGGTGTATGAAGCATCTGAATGGGCCTGGCTAGAACCTTCGGGATGTCGCCATGCCAGTCTCTCTGAAAAGTCAAGATGCAGTGAACTATCCGGCTCACAGCAATAGCGATTGGACAGCGGTCTTGATCAGCATGGGATGTCCATCTCAAGTGGTTGAAGTTATCTGAAGCTGAAGCCTGATAACTCAACAATCTGGAGGTAGTCTCCCAAACGCCCTGCCAGGTTGGAGAGTCACAGTCCCAGCGCGCAGGGCTAATAGTGCCATTAAAGCTAGCTGAGTCGAATACACCTATCCACGGGCCCCAGCGTCGTAGGTCCATCGATCTGCAGTCATCTAGCTTGAGCACAAGAAGCGCGCAGCAAGTAGCTTAGCACAAAACAGGCCAAAGATGAGGTGTTTGTGAACGCTTCTCTCAGGTGTAGCTCACACAGGAACTCGGCATGCGGAGATCTGTTCAACTAGCAGGACTTTGGAATAGCAAGCAATGCTAGCTACAAAGCTTACAGGCTTCTCATACTCTCCCCAAATCCATTGGCTATCGTGCTTCTGCTCCGTCACGCTAGAATGCATGAAATCAGGACAAGGTTTTGACGTATCCTACGTATAATTGGAGCCCCTCAAAGACTTTACTGACTCAAAAGTTTCAATGGTCGCCCCCTTCGCCAGCAACCTGTGCTTGTCTTCTAAGGCGAGGCTTCGGACTACTGCAAGTTCCTCCGGGTCCCATCAAACCGCAGAATGCAGCCAACCCTCTGAAAACAGTCTGCAGGCACAAGCGCCTAAGATGTTGTGCTCCAGCATATGTGTTCAAAGCCCTGCTCATTTTCGGGACCCAATTAGGTTATAAAGACAAGCATGTGCGCTGGTTGCCGATGCAAGGGGACTTCTAGGCCCTAGGCCACAGGTGCGTTCTTTCCCGATGGCATCTTCCAGCCTTGTGGCACGCAGGCAAGGCGATGACGGCAGCGTCCGCTGGAAGAAGGATCCCTGCCTCTGCTGCAGTACTGGACCTCTAAAGCATGAAACAAGTGGATGGCTCGTTAGGTACCTGAGCTACTCCCTCTATTGTGGTATGGAAGTTCAATCGCATCTCTCATTGCAACCGGTCCGTCGTCAGAAGTGCCAAATACAACAATAGTCAAGAGTCGTGCTGTTGCGTGACCTACACAGTGCACCCGCTGCAAGAAACCAGGGTTGCGCTCGGCAGCATGTGACTTTGTGTCCCAGAAGCTTGAGATCAGCTCATTGAACGTCCAACAACAAGGGGCAGCGTGTGCAGGTACATGTGGCTGCCAGCCCGCATGAATGTGCAGGTTACCTCGCGTTGGCACTGAAGGTATGACGCTGAGATAGTGCATGCATGCTGAATATCAGCATAGCAGCCACCGTGACCAGTCCTTCGCCCAATGAATCAAAACTGCCCCTGTCTGCAATCTGCATTTCCACCCGTGTATGACTACTTAGCGATGTGCACAAAGTGCAGGCGCAGGTTGTTGAAAGGGCAGCGATCACTTTGCAGGTCTTAGAGCCACCGTCAACTTCATGGTTTTTGGTACAGTAGGAAGACATTCCGATTCCCGTACCTTCGCGCAACGCACCAAGTCAAATCGCCAAAGAAGCATTACGAGACAGGTTTACGCCGACCTTTTGCCTGCGTAAGAAACGCTCCACATCAGTTGCACGCGCGTTGTTCCCTCCAAACGCCCCCGCGTTCTCAGGTTGGAGCAGCTGGCACTAGGGCAGTGGCAAGCAGCGTGGCACCCATGGAAGCGACGAAAAGCGAAGTGGAGGCCATGAGCCGTGCCTGGGAGGTTTCAACAATCTAAGGCCTGCTTACCTTTACTGCTCAGAAAGGCCAATGAATGCTCAGTGCTTAGAAGAATTCACCAGAACTAGAAGTGTTAGCGAGTTATGTGTTACTTCCAAAGGGCATGGGGCACACTCATGCCTGCATACCACTCGTGAAAAGGTCCAGAAGAGAAGCATTGCAGTCCCTGCTCCCCTGGGACATACATGTGCAGACTGCAACTAAGCCTAAGGTTTAGGGTAGCCTACTGAAATTTCTGCAGGACTGTTTGGGACAGAGCGGAAGCAGTTTTTGGATTCAAGCGGCCCTCACTCCCCTTGCTGGCGCCTGTTCCGCAAGGGTCTGCTTTGCAAAGTCCAGCTCCGAGAAACCCAACCTTCGGCAGCGAGGCAGATTCACAAAACTGGGCAACAAAAAGGTGTAGCCAAGATATGGCCACCACTTTTTGGAATGACATCCCTTCAAATGATCCCGAGTTTTTCATAGACCACCCTGGATGGACCCAAAAATCTGGGGATTCTGGGAGACCTCTGAACGGATGAGGGCGAGGATGATATCCTCATCTGCTGTGCCAGGTGATACGGCATCCCGACGTCCGATCTTTTTAGCTAGGTCTGGCCCGGCTCTGGTCCTGATTTGGAGGTTTCCCGAAATTAGGGGTACCTTTTTTGGGGATCCCTATAATAAGGACTATAATATATTGGGGTCTATATTGGGGGCACCCTAAACTGCCATTTGGAGACGGGAGCTATGGTTTGGGGAGCAATCACGAGCAAATCGCGCCCTCGCATGGAACATCCTCGCATTCCGGGCCGAAATGGCCCTGTTGTGTAGCGTGCTCGTAAATTTTGGATTTGGAGTGCTGCTTCCGGGTTCTGATCATATGATGGCAATAATTCCCGCCCAAATGTGCAGCATTGCCAATGTAAGCTCTAAAATGCGCTGTTGTGTGGAGCTGTCTAGACAAATATGCGCGTGTCCTCAGACATGCATGGTCTAATTGCCGTCATGCATGGTAACGGACCAATATCAGCTGGAATCTTTACATGCCTGCGCTTAATTGTCTGGCTGCAAATGCCAAACAACGGCGTAAGGATTTCTCCTGCCCCGGAAGGAAGTAGGGGGAGGGTCTCGTACCTTCCTGTAAGGAAGTCTTGATTCCTGCATCGTCCCAGCGGACACTCCTACTGCAGTAGCAGGACGGACAGAACAATAGAATGACAACAGCTTAGAATGCCATGCAGGCTTGACCCAGCTAAAGCTTGGAATGGAACTTGCCAAGCAAAATGAACACAAAGGCTTTTGCTGAGTTTGGCGAGGATCTTGCCAAGCATTGCAAGCGTTTTAAACCAATGGCGGAGGGTAAGTGGCCACCTCAAAAAGGACGACTGCTGGAACATGAGGGCTTTTTCACGATTTGCAAGCCATCGTGTTTGCCTTGAAGCAGGAGACTTCCCCCGCCGCCCCCCCACGAAACGTGTGAAACGAGAATATGCAGGTTCTTGCTAGGTTGACATAAGATTTGCCGGCTTTTCTCTTTATCATGTCTGAAGATGGTGCAGCATCCAGTGCTTCAAACAATCTTGGGATTTGCTTAAAGGGGGCAGGCTCATTGCAAAACGTGGATGAGGATGAAGACATGCAGGTTTTATTAGGTTTTTGCTACATTTAAACAGTACTTGACAACCTGCTTGCTTGCCCCAGAAGATAGTGAGGCCAGTTGGAGGAGTGCACCTACCCCGCTTGCAGAATATTGATGGGGACAAGAGCGTGTATTCCACGTCAAGCTTCATGGGGCTCGCCAACCATCGTTTTGACAGTTGTTCTACTGCAATTGTGACGGGGTTGGGGGTACGCAGTCCCATTTGCAAAGCTCACCCCTACCTGCAAGACATGAACAAGACAAGGCAAAGTAGCTTCTTGCTAAGTTTGAGAGGATTTGCCAGACGTTGCGTTTTCTTTCACACGTTCGCGGGGTGTTTAGGAGGGGCCCAGCAGCTTTTTGCGAATGTTTGCTTTGAAGCAATGGGGGGGGGTCGGGGGGTCGAGGGGGTCGGGGTGCGCAGACCCTCCCATATGTGCAGAAATGAGAACATGCCGGTCCCTGGAGGTTCTTCAAAGAATTTTTGGTAGGAGTTGGCAGCAAGCATCTGCTTTTCAGCATCCCGTGAGCTTGGCCAGCTACTTTGGCAGCTTCTATCTCACCAACAAAATCACGCATGAGAAGACTCGCTAAATGGTGGGACTACCATTTTGGGTGTCCCCATAATATGAGACCATTAAATGGTTGGCTCTGGACCAGGGTAGCTGAAGGCCAAGGCAAGGAGGACCCAAGCACCAGGACCACGGGCCCGGGGACCACACGACGAGAAGCACCATAGGATGAATGAGAACATGAGAGACCAAGGCTTGGGAGCAGAAATCCTAAGACTTGGGACCTAGGACCTCAGAAACGCTCTGCAAGAGGATTAAATATGAGCAGACTTAGATGCGACCATGCGAGGACGCAATCTGTCAAGCTTAAATGTAAAGAGGCGAATTATCAAGAGGGGACCTGGCGTATTACGAATCTACCTCATGCAGGGCCCTCTGGATGCTCAGTGCAGTCACACGTCCGTACCTCAAGCCCCCTTACACTCGCGTAAATCCCAGTGAGCGTTACGACCAGTCCTGCGTTGGCAGACGGTTGTGCCTTACTTGCCCAAATCTCCAAGCTACCGCAGCACATGCGTAAAGAACAAGAAGGCCATCATGTTGTTATTCATGTTTGAGTTTGGAGGTCTTGCAGACAGGAAAGCCAAACTCCTTACCACCCAACCCCGTTCCAGCCACGTGCGAGGCTTTCTGATAATGCAAGCTGGCAAAGTCCACATTTCAATTATTCTCTCGTCTGCCAGTCTAAGCACCCCCCGAGGAACCCAAAGAATGAAAGCCTGCGCTTTGAAGCAGATGCCCTCAGCCACTCCAGCAATTCGTCTCGGTTCCGCACAGACCTGAATGAGGTGCTAAAGGCACCGAAAGGAGGGTCATACAACATGTTTTGAGGATTGTGGATCCGATTTGTCCTGCCTGTTCCTGTGTGGATGTGATCACACCGTCATCCAAGATCTATAATCACCCTTAAGTAGATAGAATATGGCGTATGTACGGATCTTATTATGATTTACCCAAAGCCATATTCTATCTGCTTAAGGGGGACTATCATCAGTTGAGATCGGGTTCTTGTTTCGGAACAAGGGAGCACCAGTTCTGAAGGCTGACGGCTTGAGAAAAGATCCAACCACGAATGGAACATGCCAAACAAGTCAAGCCAATAGCTGTGCGCTTTGATCATCGCTTCTTAATTTGGGTTCTGTAGGAATTTATCTCTATAGCGCTTATTAGGTTTAGGGTTGTTCTTGAGTACCTTGAAGATCCCTCTCTGTCCCTCCTATATCCCCCTACAATCCTGTGCATCCCTGGAACTCAAGGGCATCCTGCTTTTTAGAAATTCTCACGTGGTGGTCTCTCTGGCCTATACGCTACTTCCTGGGCACCCCTGGAGCCCGATGCTCCGCTCATATCCCCTTGGTTGCCACAGGCATCCTATTTTCAGAAACCCCTCCACGCTGCAGGAGATGAAGGCCACGGCCTGCGCTCGCGCCTTGACTTCTGAGATGATTTTTTAAAGCAAAGGGATCTCCAAAGGTATAAGCCATAAGCCAACCAGGGATTCCTTACACAAGGACGGGCATTCACTTAAATTTGCCGCTAGAGCGGTTGTTGCAGAAGCACGGCTACCGCATGGCGGTATTCTGTTGAAGGCACAGAGATCCCAGGGAGAAACCAGGCTTAGATTTGGACTGTTCAGGTTTTGCAAATTTGCGGGTGGCTGCCATCAAGGGTTTGGCGCAGGAAGGACAAAGTGAGCTTCATTTTCGTTCTCTTAGGGCGTACTGTATTCAAAAGCCAAGCCGCAGACCTGCCTTACAAAGGCAAAACCAGTAAAATCAACAGCTGCAAAAACAAAGCATGTCCTAATTCATCCGCCTGCTTCCTTCATAGCGAATTGCCGACTAAATCAAACATGACAACAGGAATCCTCCTTCATGGTTTCCAATCGAGATGCTTGATGGCTGCCAGGAGGAGGGGTGCTTCAGTCGCCATCCTCAGCTTAGGCTCCTACCTACAAAAGGCCTCAGCATCCGTATGCCGCTTCTGAGACTTATGGGTCTGGAACCTTAACAACAGTCCGAGATTCCTGATACAGCAGCCAAGAGCCTCTTGCACGTACCCCTCCTGCTACTCTGTAACAGAGTTCAGGCAATCCCCCTTTGAGAGCGCGGTCGTTTGAAGTGAATTCTCAATTGGACGAAGACTGCATTGCAACTAATGGAACAAGTGAGGGTTTACACCTATTTTGTTGACGCTACTGGAGTTCTGCATGACGCGTAACTGCGTTCGGGTTGAGGGCGGCAATGCTTTTGGCGAACCTTACGCTGTGACCTAAACAGTGCAGGGGGCTTCAAGCTTGCGAAGTTTTGATGCTGGGGCTGTCAGTCCTGCCCCCTATCAATCATCTTGACGCTGCAGTCATGGAAAACACTGCAAAGACTCACATGTATGTCTCGCCGTGTGAAGTCGAATGAGCTCAACGTCTGCCCCGGAAGCTCTCATCTGTCGTGCGCCCAATTTCAGGTGGAGGCTTTTTACCCGCGTGTCACTTCACATGCGGACAGTCGCTGAGGCTTGTGCGGGACCTTCAGCCTCGCGAGGGCGTGAACCTCGGAACAACATGTGTGGACACGCTCAACTATATTTGTGAATGCTGGTGCGCCTAGCCCGCAATGGTGCATGTCGCAAAACAATGCATCTTCAGCCAGTTTTGCTCCTGACTAAGGGCATGCGTCGGATCTCTAGGACACAGCGACGCTTTCTGTGAAGCCTTCAAAAAGTCACGCGCCACCTCACCTTGGTCCGTGTACACCCGAGCAAAGAATAAAAAGGTTGCCACACTTGCGAAACGGACCCGAAAGGATGTCACAGTTAAAAAACCTGAAAATCCAAGCACATGACACCGCTAGAGCATTGCAACACTTCTAGGCAAACCCATGAAGAGCCTTGACTTCATTCATGATCCTGATGATGCTGATAGTCACGGTATTTGCTGTCAGTGCTGCCTCTGGATTTGGCCCAGTCACAAGAAGGGCCAAGGCTTTCCAGTGATGACGGCCTGGGTGACAATGC